GGTTGTTGTATCATACTGGTGAGAAGTTTTACGGAGAGACGGTTCTCAGTTGTTTTGATTATTAACCGTAGAAATCTCTTTTGTCAATCTAAAGGCTGTCAGTACCGTGATGCAACTCAGCACTGGTGCTCTCTTGCCATGCGGATCAATTTGAGGTTTGCTGAAGGAAGTTAAACAGCACTATTCAGTGCTCAATATACCTGTAAATGTTCTACCTTGTTTGACACTTATTTCTCTTCGATCCTTGTTCGGACCCTACCCATGGTTAGCCTTCTTGGATATCGATTTGGAAAATTCATCTTCGATTTTTTTGATTCTTATAGCCATCTGCTTGGAAGTCGACTTGGATAAAAAAAAATATTGCCGCCATAGCGCCTAAGCGCAAACAAAAAGGGCAAACTCTTGATACCCCTTCTGATGAAATTAAATTGAGCAATCAATTTGATTTGCTCACGGATGATAAGAATGATCCATCATCCAAGAAAAATTGTAGTAAACTTTTTCGGTTTAATGCCAAGAAGGAAAATATTCCCCCTATTGTGATAACCACTTCAGATTTCCATGCTCTTCGCATGGAACTTTTGAACTTCGTGAAAGTTAAGTTTTCACTACAAATTGGATGAACAGCACAAATTTTTTACTTACGACACCAAAACTGAACGTGTGTTCAACGTCGTCATGAAAGGACTGCCCAGTGGTGAATCCCTGGATCAGATCATAGATGAACTGGCAAAATTACTTGGAGATGTGCCACTGCAAGTGATCAAAATGAAAATGAAATCACGTCCTGGTGATTCGCGCAACGAGATTTCTAATGATTTTTATTTAGTTCACTTCAAGTCTAGTGAACTAAACAACCTTAAGGCCTTAGAAAAAGCTAGCCTTATGCTCCATGTCCGAGTGAAGTGGGAACACTTCAGGAAGACTGGAGGAAATTTCCAAAACCTCACCCAGTGCCGTAAGTGCCAGGGATGGGGTCACGGAACTAAAAATTGCTACATGCCAGCTAAATGCATGAATTGTGGTGATTCCTCTCACGCAAAGGACGACTGTCCTGTGAAGGAAGATCCTAATAAATTTAAATGTTCAAATTGTGGTGAAAACCACAAATCCAATTTTGGAGAATGTAAGACTCGCAAAGCGATCCTACAATCTCGTTCTAAGCGACAGGTAGGAAACGCTCCACGTTTCCGACATGGTACAATTCCTCTGCTGTTAACAACATTCAGCGGTACAAATATCACCCCTGCTTCAAATTTTTCATGTGTACGTACTCCCCTCGCTGCTAACAATGTTCAGCGAGTTAATGGAGCTACCTATGCTGCTATTGCAGCGGGAAGAAATCAAAATACTAACCAACGTAATTCTAACTGGAATTTTGAAAATTTTGACTTAGGAAGCATTATTGCTCCTAAAATGGAATTTTTACAGAAATCATTAATTGACATGATTACTGATATGCTTAAATCTAAGTCCATGTTTGATGCTATTCAAACTGGAGTAAAATTTGCTAACAATATTGTCATGACTTTGAAATTCATTAATGGATTTTAAAGCATTAAATATTTTAAATTGGAATGCTCGATCTCTTAAAGATAATGAAGACGAGCTATTTAATTTTTTGAGAGTTCATAACTTGCATATTGCTGTTATAACTGAAACGTTAAGGTTAAGAAGGACGCAATCGTCTTAATGGACCCTGTGAAGGCGTTGCCATCATTATTCATAGAGGAATCAAATATAAAATTCTTTCTTCATTTGAAACCAAAGTTTTTGAAACTTTTGGAGTTTCTGTTGAAACAAAATTTGGACAACTTACGCCTATTGCCATTCCAATGCGTAGGTCAGCAAAAGAATTTTCTCAAGGGTGACCTTCAGAAACTTACCCGTCATAGGTCTAAATTCTTCATTATTGGTGATTTTAAGGCAAAACACCGCTCTTGGAATAATGCTCAAAGCAATACCAATGGTAATATTCTGTTTGATGATTGTTCTGCAGGTAATGTAATAATTCAATATCCAAACAGCCCAACATGCTTTTCTTCTGCAAGAAATCCATCCACTATTGATTTGGTCTTAACTGATTCATGTCAACTTTGTAGCCAATTGGTTACCCATGCTGACTTCGGTTCTGATCACCTTCCAGTAACTTTTGAAATATCCCAAGAAATAATTTGTTATCCCAACAGCTCTACTTTCAATTACCATAGAGCTGATTGGGAGCAGTATCGAACATTTATGGAATATAACTTCGATCCAAACATTCCTTTGCAAACCAAAGATGAAATTAATTATGCTCTTGAATCTCTGACTACTTCTATAGTTGAAGCAAGAGCTGCCTCAGTACCAAAATGCGAGGTTAAATTCGATTCAATTATAATAGACGACGATCTTCAGCTCTTGATCCGTCCTAAAAATGTCCGTAGGAGACAATATCAAAGAACACGCGATCCTGCCATGAAAGTTATCTGGCGGGATTTGCAAAAACAAATTTAAAAGCGATTCTCTGCCCTGAGGATCAAAACTTTTGAAAATAATGTTTCTAAATTAGACCCAAGTTCCAAACCCTTTTGAAAAAACCTCAAAAGCCTATTCCAGCGCTTAAAGAAGGTGGTAAAATTTTGATCACAAATTTGGAAAAAGCTCAGAAACTTGCTAAGCAATTCAAGATTTTCCATAATTTCAGTTTGGGTCTTACTAGTCCTATTGAGAATCAGGTTGCTCAGGATTATCTGAATATTTTCTCTCGGGAAAATATTGTTAATGATTCCTGGAGGACTGATTTGGACAAAGTAAGATCTACAACTAAAAAGTTTCTTAATATGAAAGCTCCAGGTGATGATGGAATTTTTTATATCCTCATCAAAAAACTCCCAGAGCTTGTCTTTCTTGGTAAAATTATTTAACAGATGTTTCCATTTGGCATACTTTCCTGATAATTGCAAAAATGCAAAAGTTGTTTCAATTTTTAAGCCGGATAAAAATTCAGCTGAAGCCTCTGCCTACCGTCCGTTTTGAAAAGCTAATTTTAAGCAGAATGATGCTTCACATCAATACGAACTCAATATTTTGCAGATGAGCAGTTTGGATTTCGCCATGGGCATTCAACTACTCATCAACTCTTAAAACTTACCAATTAAATTCGTTCGAACAAATCTGAAGGCTACTCAACTGGAGTTGCTCTTCTAGACATAGAAAAAGCATGCGACAGTGTTTAGCATGAAGGTTTGATTGCTAAATTGAACAAGTTTAATTTTCCACTTTACATTATGAAATTAGTTCGAAATTATTTAACTGACAGAACTCTGCAGGTAAATTATCAAAATTTCAAATCCGAACGACTACCTGTTAGAGCAGGAGTTCCTCAGGGTAGCCATCTTGGGCCTATATTGAATAACATTTTCTCTTCGGACCCCCCTGATTTGCCTCAGGGTTGCCACAAATCTTTGTTCACTGATGACATAGGCATTTCCGCTAAAGGAAGAAGTCTTCGTGTTATTTGCAGCAGACTGCAGAAAAGTTTAGATATTTTCTCTTCTTATTTACAAAAATGGAAGATTTCTCCCAACGATTCCAAAACTCAACTTATAATATTTCCACATAAACCTAGAGCTTCCTTTTTGAAACCTAGTAGTAGTCACATAGTCACTATGAAAGGATTTCCAATTTCCTGGTCAAACCAAGTGAAATATCTTGGATTAGTACTTGACCAAAAATTAACTTTTAAAGATCACATTGAGGGCATTCAAGCCAAATGTAACAAACATTTAATATGTTTGTATCCTCTTATAAACAAGACATCCAAATTTTGCCTGACGAATAAACTTCTAATATTTAAACATGTTGTAGAGCCATGTTTTACGCTGTGCCAATATGGTCTAATTGTTGCATTACCAGGAAAAAATCACTTCAAAGTTCTGAAGATGATTTTAAAGTTGCCTCCCTGGTACGAAGTACATAGAATTTCGAATGTTGAAACTTTAGAACTAATGTCCATCCATGTTTAAAATACTGTATTACCAAGGCAGGAATAATGTAAAAACACTTACGTATACATCATAACAATTAAGGCTGGTAGGTTTCTGTAGTAACTGGAGCATTTAGGTTAAAATGAAATGTAATTTATTTTGAATTTAGAACAAATAAAGCGTTTTGAAAAATAGGTTCGTATGCAAAACATGAGCAAAGCAGTTCAGAGCAGTTCAGAAGAAGATCAAGTATTCTAAATGATGCAATGTGTGTCCCTGAAATCACGAAGTGGTAGATCAGATGAGGTTTATACTAAGCCGGGTACCTAAGAAAGTCTGAAATAAAGCAAACATTTTCACACGCACCCAATTAATACCACGTAGATTGCTTGATAATATTGAACTTAAAATTACAAAACGCAAAATGCATTCAGATTTTTAGATAAAGAAGTTAATGTTTACTAGTCAACTGCGATCATCAGACATCCCATAAATTCAAAGGTTGAACATTCTTTGCCACCTCTCCGCTTGCTAGAAACAATAATGCCACACCTTGAAAAGCAACCTCCCAAGTTTGTGAACATTTTGGTTTTATCTTTCGACACAATGCAGCATTCAATTTAGGTTGTCGCACCTAACTAACGGGCTAACGAACGAACGACACTAGCAGCCTGCCAGGTTTGTTTATCCTGGACTAATAAAACTCTCATTAGTGCCCGTGTTCGTCCTTCGCACATAGTAATGGCCCTTTTTGGCTGCCAGAATGCCTGGCCTCTTCTGCACCTGCCCATTTCCAACGAGCGGCTGGTCCGTGTGTGGAAGTAAATTTATCTCATTAAGTAGTTAATTATTAACCGCAGTCTGAGGCCCATATGCTCTGGCATAACGTCGGCTGGACTGATAACCATGTTCTGCATTAACCCAATTTGGGGAGTCAACAAGCCCCTTGCAACCTAATGAAACTAATTGACAGCAGGAAGCATTATTTCGTCTAATAGAGCCCTTTGATCTTTTTCCCCCTTTTTCTCGCAGACGAATTCTGCGAAGACTACCCACACAATCTGATTCCCACGCCGGGCTATTGGATCGAATGTTCCCGCCAGAAGATATCCTTCCCCAATCAGCACACGATATGGGACGACAGCGAATCGGATCACGAGGACGCCGCTCGGGGTGGCATCGAACCGCAGATGGAGCGCAACTGCAGCGACCTCTACGAAGACGACGAAGACTCGGACAACGTGCCAAGGTAGGGATCGTAGAGTCCCAAAACGCTTTCTATTTCAGCCAAATGAAAAATAAACTGGTCATGATCCATCCTGGTAGTAGCGCAGTAGATGTAGAGTAGAATCGTTTCTTCTTCTCTTTCTCTCTCTTTCTTTCTCTGGGTCTAAAAAATGCTACACGATACCCCCCGCCCCACCCCACCCGCATTGTCGCATATCCCACGAATCATCCGGCGACATTCACCACGCACTCCCACACACACCCACACCCGCACACACTCACACACTCTCGGTCCCAACTCGCACTTACCAGTCAGCATTTCCGCAGAAAAAAGACAGCGATCGAGGAGCAGTGGGAGCAGCAGCAAGGTTTCGAACTTACCTCCGTCGAGCAGGAAACGTACGAGAAGTACTTCTACGGGACCGAGCACTGGAACTACTTCACCAACGACGAGGACCTCGGCCCGGTCATCCTCTCGATCAAGCAGGAAACGATCAACGGACGCGATCAATTTAGGATACTAGTTAGAGCTATATCGTACACCGTACATGGACTGATACCAGCCTCTTGTGTTTTTGCTGATAGGTAAGTTGGGTTGAGGGGATTTCGGGGTGTTCTAGAGTAGTGACGATTTAGTGGGGATCGATGCGGAGAACTGAACAAACTCGATTGTGTGGAGCTGGTGTTCTTTGCAAAACTGGACAGTTTGTGGTGAACAGTTTAGGTTCAGAATTTGTCTGGCATCTAAAACTTCTGAATCATATGCAAGTAGGAGCTTGAACTTAACAAGTCTTTACTCTATTCCCAACAGGTATAATAGGGAAGAAGTAGTTAGATCGTTAGGTAAAGAAGTAAACTTAAATCCACCTCTAACGTTAGGACAATTGCCAGACACACCGGAAGAGCTTTTGAAACTGGATCAGGTAAGGAAGGCGGAAAATTGATCAAAAAACGTTCTAATCGAAACACTGGACATATTTCCCCCAGGTTTTCATAAAATCTGAACTGAAGGTGGGCGTGATCTACGTGAAGGAGGGTCAATATACCGAAGAACAAATTTTAGACAATAATGAAAATTCACCGTTATTTGAGGAATTTTTACAGCTACTAGGTGATAAAGTTAGATTACGTGGTTTTGATAAATACAAAGGCGGCCTTGACACTGTTCACGATTTAACAGGTTTGTTGCTTGGAACTTCAATAGAGTGTCCGAAAATTAACCACCATCTCTCACTAGGACTTTACTCCGTTTATACAAACTGGCGTTCGATAGAGATTATGTTTCACGTTTCCACGCAACTGCCGTACGAGCGGCACGATCCCCAGAAGCTGCAGCGGAAGCGCCACATCGGTAACGACATCGTGTGCGTGGTGTTCCTCGAAGCGGACAACACCGCCTTCAGTCCGGCGTGCATCAAAAGCCATTTTTTACACACCTTCATCCTGGTGAGTGCCGATCTATTTGATTGAAAATAGGATATTCTATAGTTGTAAGGACTAGAGAGGGTCTAGCATACGTTTCCTAGGCAGTTTGTTTGGAATACGCCTCTCTCTTATCCTATACCCTCTCTAGTAAGTACATACAGGACAAATTTTATAAATGACAGTGATGATGCCTAATACTTAGAATTCTTTCGAGCAACAATCTTGACATGCTCCACATATTATTTATTAATGATAGCTATCTGAACGTTGTTCACGTTTTCGAGGCAGATAGCGGAAGTGGCTCTAATGTTGGCCTGTGGGTCTATATAGAAATCTCCTGTTTTTAAATTTGTCGTAGAACAATGCGTCATATGAACATATTTATATTATTTTTTGTTGCTAGTGAAACATTGTCAAAATAGGCTTTCCTTGTATGTATGGACCCAAACCAATTTGTTGTGCTCCCGAAGCTTCGAACAGATAATAAGATCCACCCGCAAAAAAAGGACTCTTGTGGAGCATCACCTTAAAAACGAACTGTCAAGTGACTGAAAAGTGGAAAACAGACCATCAAAAAATTACATCGTTCATCTCACTTGACATCTCGCATCCGCATCCACATCGTCAAGTACTTTTTTCCTCTTTTATTGGATCCTTTGACCGTCCGTCAACAACTCGACTTTCTTGAAGTGTTGTTTTTGTCGTTCAATGGCCCACGTGAGCGATTTTTTTTTGTGAGATATCTACATTCAAATGCTTTACGATCGATCAATCGATTCGTTTGATGTATTTTGGATAAAAAATATGAAAACTTTATACTGCCCTGTGTGGCATAACAGTCGAATGTGAAATTGAGGCACAGGTCGGAATCGATTATCTGGGGTTTGATTATCCAGAATTTTAGACTCGATTATCCGGAGAATTTTGACGTAGACTACGTCTTACGGGAAGGTACGGGGGAAATCTAAAATTGCAACCGTCATGAAAAGGTGTAAGGTTTTGAACACTTATAACTTTGTCATTTATAGATGAAATTAAAATATACCAATCGATAGGAAATAACTCTCGTAAGCTGTTACAATAAACGCTTTTTTAATTTTTCAAAAAAAAAATGTTTTAAAAATGTACAAATAAAAAGTGATAATTTTATCCCTGTTTTTATGAAATAAACGTTCTCCCCAAACCCAATCATGATAATCGAGTACTATTTGGTTGCACATCGTGCTGCTTGAATCTGAAAAGTTATAAAACAGCGCTGCTAATGTCCCTCAACTCATTTTCGCTTCGGACGGCGGGTAAACTGGTAGCAGCAGCAGTAGGAAGGCGGTTCCTGTCAAGCACGCAGCGTTCGAGTTTTGCATCTCGAACTTTGAAGTAATCGAGAAATACTTCTTGGGCTGTGTACCAATTGCCAAGTTAAATGTAACTCGTGGTTAAACTTGACATTACGAAAGTTATTTGCAATGTTCGAAAATGCCGGAAATTGGTCAGTTTTCAAACAGAACTCAGCCACGGTAGCCAAAATTTAACTTCTAGTCGGTCAGAAATAACCACGCTCGGATAGCAAGGTTATTCGATAACTCATCTGTAACTTTTAACCACGAGATAAATTTAACTCGCCCATTGCGACACAGCCTTGGAAGTTAAATTAGGGCCATCCATAAATTACGTATATTTTTGACCAATTAACCTCCCTTCCCCCTCGGAGCGTGTTTTCCAATACACCTAATACGTGGCCGGTCCAAACTCCTGAAACCCCTCTCCTCCCTCAACTACTACGTTATTTATGAAAGTTCCCTAATCATTGGGCAACACTGAAAATCAGCAGCACACCACACAAAAGGGCTTGAACATGTATGTGAAATTTCGGTATTGATCGTCAATATTTCGCGATCTGAACATTTTAGATTGAAATCCCTCCATTTAATTCTCGGTAAATCTTTAATCTATTGATTGAATTAAAAAAAATCTTCATATGGTTTTTTAAGAACTCGTGCGTTTTGTGAACGCACATTCGCATAAGGATTTTCCTACACAGATTACAGTTTTCTGTTTCAAGCACTAAAATTATCAGACGGTACCTCTATTTATGCTTTTAGATTAGCTATGAAAGTCCCTCCTACTTGGAAAATTATGCTATAGAACGGTTTATACAACCCCAGTTTTTTTTTTTTGCTGGTGGGGGCGAGGCATAGCAAGAAGTTCGATTGCATAATTCTTCAAGTAGGAGGGACTTGCAATGCTTATCTGTTAGCATAAATAGAGGTTCTGAATTTCGACAGTGAGCGTTCAAAAGGGCCTACTTGTAATGTTCGATTCTCTTCATCGATTTCTGTTTACATTGCTACAGCTAAGCGAAACAATTCAAGCTGAACATTGCATTAGGTCCTAAGTAACACTGACAAGATTCTCTTCGTCAACTTTCTCCTTGAATCCACTCGGCCCAGGTATTTTCTGCACACATATCGATAAAAGTAGTTTTTATCTAGCATCTAATACGACAAACACAACAAGAAACGATCCTGTGCTCAAGCTATTAAGGCTGTGTTCCATCTGGTGAATTTTTACTTAAATTTGACAGATGGAAAATTTTCAAATAAACCTGTTATTCCAGCAGACCTATTTCTGACAGACAAGGAATCAATTTGACAGACGTTTTCTCGAAAATCGGCCGATGTACAACAGAGGGGTTTTCGAACATCTTAATTTATTTTCGAAATGTCAAATCTAAGTGAATATTTTCCAAATGGAACACAGACTTAGTATTTTTTTTTATTTGTTCAATCGGTAGATAAAAGATGAACCGAGAACTTATTGGAGGGATTCATGGCTTATTGATATCATCCCGATCAACTATGAAATGTTGCATAACATTGATGCAAAATTGTGCACTCCGTTTTGGTGTGTGCATTTATTTTTAGCGTTTTGAAGTTGAATCGCTGAGGATCAATCTCATTACCATAGAAAAATTTCAAGAGTACAGATATCAGCTCTCTCAAAACTTATAACAAAGAAACTGGAACTTCACGTTTGTTGCAGTCCAGTACACAAGGAGGTTCAATTTCATGAGTAATGTCACAACCGTCCAAGATTTCCGGAGAACTTGGAATTAGGGCGTAATTGCTGTTGTAAACAAACATGACAATCGTCGATTTCTCGCAAATTAAAGCTCAATATAAAAAATGAACGGCACAAAAAGGTAGAGAAATGATTCCTCCATCATTTGGTATAGTTTGTTCGCGAGATTGAGTTTTAATTTACGAGAAATCGACGATAATCGTGTTTGTTTACAAAAGCAATTACGCCCAAATCTCAAAGTTCTCCGGATTTGTGTCCTAGAAATCTTGAAGTGATAGGGAATATCAGCCATCATGACGATCATTGTTGGACGCTTCAATGAATCACCTGAAGAAAGCCTTACTTATAGCTGATTGTAATTTAGGAAAAAATGCAATAGAATATGTATTTGCATTTTTATGAGGTCCTGAATTTAACCAAGTTTTACTAAGTAGGAAATCCAAAATATGTACATAGGACCGAAATCATAGGTTACTTCTACTGTTTTTTTAATTCAATATCTAGAAAAATGCACGAGAGTTTCACTACACAGCGTAACGTAGTCTACACACTAATCGAGTCAGTACGGTTTTACCGAGTTTTTGAATTGCGGAACTGTTCGGTAAAAGTTTAAAAATCTGTGGAAAATTTATTAATGAGAAAATGTGTTCTGAACTTGTACATACTTAGTTCTGTTAACCCCAATTAATGATAGAAAATAAAATTGATCGATTTCATTGATTCCTTACGGATAACGGTCATTTGAATTTTTACCGACTTTTTCAGCAATTCAAAAACCCAGTAAAAAATACTGACTCCTGTAAAAAAATCTTAGTGTGTACGTCAACCATGCAGTCGTGTCTTTTACACAACCCCATCCATTTTTTTGCGTTTTTGTTTTAGTTTTTATGCAGAAATTATAAATTGTTTAGTAGGTTACAGATATATACAATATAATTATTTTAATAATATTGGACATAGCTAGGACGAGGGGACTCAAAGAAGGTTTGATTGGTATATTGAAACGCGGTTATCCACAGTGTATATCAAATTCATTAATTCAAATGAATATATTTATTTTATATTCATTTATAATATGAATAAAGTGGTGACCCGATTTAGTCAGCCCTCGATTGTTTCTACCCCCAAGGGGTATTCAACTCTGAACATATCAATCTGTGCCGAGTACTTTATCTGTGCCAAGCGTTGGGCCAACCGTGCCGAAGTGTCGCAATCAAGATGTCAATCTCAGTATCCCATGAGTTTGGCAACCCTGCAGTTAGGACTTTTGAGATGGTTTTTTTTACAAATTCAAGCTCTGTAAGGTTCATTGAATTTTGCGATACATCACGATATCAGCACATCCATAACATGTCCATAAGTGGCACACAATGTGACTGACAATCAACTTGATTTTGGATTCTCATGTGATTTTATGAATCACATGATGGGTTTTAGCTAATACCAGAAACTACGCATTTCGTTGGGGGTACCTGGGTACATGTCCATATGAGGGAAATATGCTCCGGGATACATGACATAGTAGTGAAATTTACGTTTATTTGCCGGTTTTTAAAGTTTCAATATTCGGTTACATTTCAATTGGTTAGCATTAGGTTCTTCATCTTTGTTCTAGTTAATTAGTTATTCTAATGTGATGATTGCGCTTAGCGTTAATTTACAGGATACCCTTTTAAGGACTTGTTTTCGTTTGAATTAAAAACTACAAGGAACAGGGTTGTACGCAATGGCGACGTAGGACTACGTGGTCTTATATAATAAATGTTATTTGTTAACTGCAGCAGGAGCTTGTGTTTTGTGTAGGAATAGGAATTTGAGCGAGGTTCTCTATGTTTATACTCTTTCGTATGACTATGATTGTCCTGAAATCATAGAAAATAGAAAAATAATCTATTGACATGAATTTTAGTTGGGACATGTTGAGAAATTAAACTTTCTTGGAA